ATCAAACGACAACCAGATATAGGGTTTCTTATAAGATCAATCCATTCTGCACTTTACATTCACGATAAATGCATGTATTAAAAAGGTGAGGATGGCTGTGATGGGAGTCTGGGCATTTATTTTGTGTACCGGACACAGATGACATAAAACAAAAGAACAAAAAACCATGAAACAATACTAAGCAGATTTTCCCTGAACAGAAAACAAAGAAGCCTCTCTCTTACATCATCTTTGTCCAGTACACGAAGTTTTGACTGGAATTTGGAATTCACTAATATCTGAACAAATTGTCAATTCATTTGGTCAGGGAAAGTGTTCATTTGACAATCAGTCTGGGAATTTAAGAAACTATGCCTCTGGCAGCCAATGTCTCAACAAGCTCATGCATGTTGAGAATTGAAGAACTGATCACCTTTAACATGACTTGTTTTTGAACATTTCGTACAAATTCACTCTTGATTGAGCATTTATTTCTCATGCATGTACACAAATAACTATAAACACTTTCATAAATACACCCAATGCAAATATGGCGGACCTCTCGGCCGGCCCAGGTCTACGTACCCGAAAGGGAGGCTAGTGAGGCCTCAAGGATTTTGTTGTGACTCCACGTCTTAGCGATTGAGTCGATCGATACGGTTTCGACCCTCGGTTTCCATCGAGTTGTTGTGTGCCTGAGCGCCACTAAAAAGAAGATTTAACTCCAACTGGAACGAGAGATAACTACCTGTACTTTTCTGAGGTCCTTTCACAAAGAAAGTAATGGATTTATGCGAATCGGCGCGGCGAAGGGTAGCACTTTACGGAGCGAACGAAATTAAGTGCGCTCGTTGCACTTAAGAATATAAGAGTCACAAAAGTATTTGAATGGGAGAATTCGCAAGGGATGGTGTCGCGCTAAGTTCATATGTTCTGTTCTTCATTCAAAGAAAAGGAAACCATTCTCAAAATCGAGTGTTTTCACCGTCGACGTTACGATCCCTACATCTTATCAATGCCGAAGAGCGTCTGGCTCGGTCAGTAAATGATATGAACCAGCAGACTGATCTTTTGATCTTAGACTTTTCTAAAGCCTTCGATAAAGTAGCACACAAACGTCCGTTACTTAAATTAGAGTACTATGGCATTCGTGGTTTAGTCTTACCCTGGATAAAGGTATGGCTAATTGGAAGAACTCAACAGGTGGTCCTTGAAAGCGAGTACAGTGAGACGTCTTACGTGAGATCAGGAGTCCTGAAAGGAACAGTGTTGGGTCCCTTGTGCTTCTTGTTATTCGTTAACGACATAGGTAATGATATTACCTCCTATATTAAGTTATTTGCTGACGACACCCTTATGATGGTCTGGTACACAATTCCGACGATGCAATCAAATGTGATCTGGACAAATTAGTTGAATGGGCAAAGTTGTGGCAAATGGCCTTCAAACCATCGAAGTGTTACGTTCTACGCGTTTGCAGAACCAAGTATCCTTTTATACACCCGTACACTATGCTTAGCCATACCCTACGGCCGGGCTGTAGACCACTATCCTTACCTCGGAGTTTCTCTGTCAGAGGACCTAAACTGGAAGCCACATATCCTGAACATTACAAGCAAAACCAATTCGACTCTTGGCTTTGTCAAGAGGAACTTGCATCATCGCTCACAAAAGGTTAAAGTTTAAGGCTACAAATTGTTAGTGAGACCAACGTTGGAATATAATGGTTGTACTGTATGGGATCCGTATAGAGCATATCACATCATGGCTCGAACAGGTCCAGCACAGGGCAGCACGCAACCAAGGCCCTAAAGCAACTAAATTGGCCAACTCTGGAAAAACGAAGACAAGTAGCTAGACTGACACTGATGTACATAAAGGACGCTATTGATATCGCCTGCTATGTACATCATCAGTCCTCCCTAAAAACCAGGGCATCTCATACATTGAAATTTATTCCACTTCAGCCATCCCGTGACACGTAAAAATACAGCTTCTGGCCGAGAACTATCATTGACTGGAATAGCCTGCCATCTGATTATTTAACAATGGATTCAACTGCAAAATTTAAAGCCACCGTCTCTGTCTACATTTTTTCAGTGTGATGTTTACCCCTTTCGATTTATTGTATTTGCTGCCCCTGTATGTTTGGTCACAAATAAATGGAGGGTCCAGAATATACCTTGTAGCGCGCCTCTGGACACGCTCGTACTTTCGAATCAGATCTTTGTTCAGGTTGTTGCAGGTTACGAATAGCTGTTGCAGAAAGTAGAGGGTAGTCCTACTCTCCAAAGGAAAACGTTTTTGTAGCGTATCGTATGGTATGTATCGTTACTCAAGCATATGGCGTAAGTGAGTTCGATCCCGCGTAATCTTATCCAATTAACAAATCGACAATAATTTTCCATGATTTGTAATCTTATCGATCATAATAAAAATGACGTGAAAATGTTGAAAGCTAAAGTGAAGCCACGAGACGCAGTTGAAGTTTCTCAGAACAACGGCACGCGAGAGAAAGAAAACAAATTACACCACCATCACTTCGTTTTCATGGTCTGTTTAAGAAATAGATTCCATGCTGCCGTGCGTCTGATCTCACAGATGACGTCAAAATGTGGTAAGAACAAAGAAGTGACACACGAACCGCAGGGGAGTGTGTCACTGATGTTTAAGGAATAGAAAACTTATTTACTTATCCTCGACAGTTATGCAAAACCTTGACTTCGTTTCGGATTTGCATAAAATGTCTCGAATTCTCCCAACCCCTCTCGTGTTTATAACAGGCTATGAAACACAGAAAACGTTTTCTATTGCTTATATCGAACATAGCTGTCGACCAATTAGCGTGTGAGAAATCGCTCAGTTATGGTAAAATTAGACTTCGCTTTTCACTTAACTCTGACAGACACTATGGTAGCTTCAGTCCAAGGATTTGGCAACTTCTCATTCTGCAAGATCTTATTGCAAATACTTGTGAGACCCTCTCTATCAGTGAGTACCGGTTCAGCTGTTTTTCTATTACTTTCCTTTCGTACAGCGAGTTTACTACTGCCTAAATTCTTCTCGCATGATATGGTAAAGTCTCTTCAGTTACAGAAGGGCCGTCAAACACCGCTGGACCATTCAGCTCATCCTGTTCGTATACGTATCTCTTGATCTTTTTTCAAGAACATTCCTCTTAAGTACTTTAACGAAGCTAGTCGTTCCCTGCTTGGTGGCTGTCGGATCCTTGTCCATTTATAAAAATATAAGCGTTCCTGCTTTATTAGTTTTCATACAGTGTTTAGATTCCAGGATTTCCTGGCCAATTTAATGCCTCGCTTTGCGGGCAACATCTTAATATCACATTGCTTAATCACGACTATTCTTTCACTTTTTCAGTTTTCTGCTCACTCAGTCGCGTTGGTTTAAGATTTCAGCTGTCACCTAGGGTTCTTTGTGTGACAAAGTTTACCAGGGACTTGCAGCTGTGTCAGACAGTACTATTTTGAGGGTTGTGGCCACTTTTTCCAGGTCAGTTGGCCGTGGTTCTCTAGGATCACCAGTGGAACAAATGTTGTGGTGTGTCCAGGGGTACTTCAGTTTCTCTAGCTCGAACTTGACTGTTGAGTTTCTGATTTTTCTTCATGAACACTTGCTACCTCAGCTAGGGAAACTCCTACCCCTCTTCCAAAACTTCTTTTTACCTAAATGTAGTATCTATGATTATCATATCTCCCACCAGGGCTGTTAGTGTTAAGACCATCTTCCACTTCTTTTTTTATGTGGACAGCAGGCATTCGCCAGGATCGAGATTAACAGCGCAGCAAATTTTAGGAATATCTGATTAGGTACTTCAATGCAGCAGGGCCAGCTAACGCCATGACAGTTTTCCACTGCATCTTTTTCCAATTTTTGCATTTAAATGTCCTCGGATTGTTTAGTAGCTGTATCTATGTCTGTACTCATAACGTCTGCGAGCTTTTCGTAAAATCCCTACCCTTTCCCCATAGTTTATTGCTGATGCATATACTGGTTTCACGGTAATGCTAAAGGGTATCGCCGTAAGACGATTCTGATTGAGTCTCCTTGAAAATACCTGACATTCCATAAAACATCCCACAATGTCTCTAAGGAAAAAAAATCCCACACTGTGTTCATGTTTGTCCTTCTTATCACCTCTTGTTTCCTGTATCAGTTGATAATTTCGCCAATCCTTTATAGCGTTTTCCAGCGCTGGCTTAACTTAAAAGGCCCATTTATGCCGTGAGTATGGTATCATGGGAACATCATCACTCGTACTGATCTTAATCTTAACTTGCCGGTGTGTCAGGTGCACACTGGTCTACTCGGTTCTGCGAATGGAGCGGTCCTTGTTAACACGGGAGACGACAGAATCAGTTTGACACTGCACTGTCTTTGGTGAAGTTTATTCTGGCGGAACCATCCCTCTCCAGACCAGATTTACTTAGGGTTTCCTTAACTTTCTATTTCACAAAGTTCCCACAAGGCAGCTGGTATTTTCCTCCTTAATAGATCATTAAGCATGTCCATTGTCAAGACAGGTGACGGGTGTCTCTATGATAGTCCGAGAATTGTTCCTAAAAAAGAAAGTCGACGCGAATGCCTTTCAAACAAAAAATTTTAACAAGGTGACCATTTGTTGCTGATTTGCATCCAATGTTGTTGTTGATTTGCATCCAATGGAATTTAAGGATAGCGACTGTCCACCGATTGACCAGTCACAACCAAAGCTTTAGGAGGCTATAAAGAACGGTGATTTAGAGAAAATCAAGAGCGTACTTAGTTTATCTCGAGCAAATATAGACTTTGATCTTCTAGACAGTTCTGGTGAAACAATTATACAAGTAGCAGCTGATTTGAATGATGCGTCCGATCGAGACGATGCAATAACTTTACTATTGAGTGGCGGAGCTAGCCTACGGCTCGCTTTGCTGAATACAGTACATCAAGGTGACGTGCGGGTAGTAGAGAGACTACTTCAGTATTGTGATCAACAGCCTCAGACACCGTCACCTAAAATGCTCTCTGTCAGAGGTCATACTTCTTTTACAACACCACTCAGCCTGGCGGCCCGTTTGCAGAATTTTCAAATTGTCAAGCTTTTTCTTGAACACGGATTCACCATTGAGGATCCCAAAACCATGCGAATGTCGACGGAATTTACTGATGTCTCAAGCGAGAAGCTCCATAGTACAGTACACCGTTTAAATGAATACCGCGCACTGGCCAGCCCTGTGTTTATTGCGGCGTCTTTTCTACAAAACGTGCGGAGTGGTCCTGACCCAGTTATTCGAGCTTGTGCCCTGAGCAAGGAATTCCGTGAAATATCCGAGCAAGAATACGAATTTAGGAAGGAGTATCTTACGCTTTGTAATGACTGTGAAGAGTTTACTGTGTCGCTTCTGAAGGAATGCTGCACACAGGAAGAGATCAGATGCGTTATGGAAGCGAAGAGCGAAGGAAAAACGTTTTCTACGCTGGAGACAGATTCTCTTAACATTCTGGAGTTTGCTGCTCTTGCCAAAACGAAAAAGGTCTATTCAAGATTATTTTTAATGATAAGGTCATCTTTCATTCATTCATTCATTGATTTTATTTTGCCTTTAACAAGAAATACAACAACAGTATACAGAAATACATTAAAGATAATATACAATATTCTAACTAAATTATTTAAAAGATCAAATGTGGTAAAGGCAAGGAAGCCTATATAGAAGCCGGGGGCTTGTAAACTATAGGCTTCCTGGAACTATAGGGTAAACCATACAAGTTAAGGGTACTGAATGAAAATTTCGATTAATTTTTTAAAGAAAAAAAAAAGAAGAAAGAAAGAAGAGAAAAAATAAAAATAAAAGGTGTGTAGCTCAACAAAGATTCAATTTAACTAAGAAAGAAGGAATTTTTTAAGTCTTAAGAAGGAATTTTTTAAGTCTTTTTTTTATTTTTCAAATCAAATAAGATGTGCGTTGTAACGGCTACGATCCGCATTCAAGCCCGTCTGGGTGAAGGCTTTGAAGAGATTTTGATGCAATTTCCTAAAGTTTGCTTTAAGAAGTTTAGTTTAGCATCTCTGGGTACTAACGGTTAATATTTCCTTTTAGTTTGTCGCCCATCCTTACAGTCTGCTGGTACTAAATTCGGAAGTTTATAAAAACGCCTCTTTCTTGGAGGTGAAAGGTGTTTGGAAAAAGTCAGTGTTACTACTCGTGGCGGCCTTGCTGTGCCCATTGGCTTTAGTGGTTTGGTTTGTTTTTGAAGGCCTTTTCCCCAAACATAAAGTGACCAGCATCTTTCGCTCTCCTTTTGTGAGGTTTCTCATCTACGCCGGGTCCTATCAGACATTTCTATATCTGCTTGCAGTCACATCAAGTACCAGTCATTTTCTGGGAGGCTTCTCGTTTAGTGGTAAGAGATATCGATGAAAAGAAATTTATCACTGTTAATACAGTAAGTTAAGACTGCTTTATCGAGGGGCAAGCTAAATGATTCATCTTGTATTCCTCTCACAGATTTGTATGTCAGAATATTTGTCATTGGTCTACTGGTAGACCTCATAAAAGACGTGCTTCAGAATGGAAGATCCCGCTTTTTTTCATACCACTGGAACTATCTGGCTTCGACAATGGTGGTGTCTTTCGTCCTTGGCGACGTAATTTGGTTGATTGGAAGGGTAACTCTTCCAAGCGGATCCCAGTCTCTGACGCTAGAAGACCATGCTGTGTTGCGATCTTATACGATCATGCTGTCTGCCGAAAGCTTTTTATCCTTGGGAATTCTCCAGGCATTTGCCCTAAATTTGTAATTTTTGAGTCAGGAAAACGCCAGTATTGGTCCTTTGCTAAATGCATTTATACAGATGCTTATCGATGCAGCAAAGTTCTTTTTTTATTTTGGTTTCGTTTTTCTGGCATTTGCTGTGAGTTTCACAAAGCTTTACTCGCAGTATAACGCGGCCAAAGAGTACTTCGCACCGGGGACGGAGGAGAAGATTTCGCTAGCGCTGGAAAGGTAAGTATAAAAGATTTATCTTAAGCAATTATAGAGTACTTAAGTGCGACGTCATAAAAATGAAATCTCTGAAATTATGGGATTTGTCAGGATATTCTGAAAGAACAATGTCCAAGAGGCCTGCTTGCCAAAAATGAGCATTTCGGGGCAAATAGTCTCTGAGATCGTAGCCCAGTTATGCTTAGAAAACTCCACACAAACCCTTCTAAATTTTTTTGGGTCGACCCCCAAAAAGTAGAAGGGTTTGTATGGAGTTTTCTGAGTATAACCGGCTAACATCTCAGAGGACAGAGACAATTTGCCCCGAAATGCTCATTTTTGGTAAGTAGGCCTCTTGGACATTGTTCTTTGAGAATATCCTGACAAATCCCTTAATTTCAGAAATTTCATTTTTATGACCTCATCACTTTAGTACTCTATAGCGGAGCTCCACAGCTACCCATCCCAGAAAATTTGGTAATCACGTGACCGTACACCGCCCGTCCGTCCGCACCACAGGGAACCAATGTTCAATCTCATACTTTCTAGCTAGTTTGGGAGCGCAGGAAAACTGATAATGCACACATTTTGGACATCAACGATGTGATCAATTGACAGCTATCGAAACAGGGTATCCGCTGACTAGTATCACTTGACCGAATCGCGGGCTCAGGTGCTGACCCATTAAAGTTATCCGCTGACAAGTTAGTAGTTTTCAAGCGATCGCAGGCTCAAGTATATATTTTTTAATTCATATGAAATATGTTGTGTTTACGTGCCGCACAATTAAAATTTTGATTTCAAACTGACCTCGGATGCGAAAATTCAGCCAGCTATGCAAGGAAGACAGTTGCTTTTAACCATCCGTCCGCACCATAGGACAACCCATGCGTACTTTCACACTTTCTAACCACTTTGGGAGCCCAGGAGAAAACTGATTGCTCATCAATGTTGTGATCAATCATGGATAATATCCATGGATCAATTGACATCTGTCAAAACAAGGTATCCGCTGGCTGGCCACCTGACCGTATCGCGGGCTCAGGTGTCGACCCGTCGAGGTCGAGTACTTTTTTGAAGTTATCCGCTGACAAGTTACTAGTTTTCAAATGATCGCAGGCTCAAGTTTATTTTTTCAAAAAGTCATATGAAATATGTTGTGTTTCTGTCACTATGGCCCCGCACTATTAAGATTTTGATTTCAAACTAACCTTGGACGCGAAAATTCAGCCAGTTATTTGGAAATACAGGCGGGGAAGACCTTTTCTTGCCAAGGTCACGCGTTGGTCACGCTCTACGTCCAATTTTTATGCTCTGATTGGTCAAAATTTGACAGGTGAGTTCATGCGGAAAATTTGTGCAGCATCTTGAATCTTGTTTACTTTGACTGCTGAAGCTGGCAGAGTTTTGTGTCAACTTGTGATTTTTTTAACTGTCTTTTTCTACTGGATGTACAAAAATGAAATACAGCTGCTATCAAGAGTATTCTGTTATTCGTGGCTAGTTTGTTCATTGGTTTTTTGGTTGAGAGATGCGTCGATTGTCAAAGTCGGAAATCCGATTTCGGATGGCATTGTTTCCGTTTTTCACCTTGCTTGAAAACTCTGAAGCGATACTGGCCTTACTTGATACCTTTCAGGAGCTGCATCTCGAATGGTAAGCATGAGTAATTATTGTATTTGATTTTTGTTTTTTTATATCTAATTTAATGAAGTCGAGCGTAGTTTATGCACGTTTGTAAGATTTGAGACAATGATCTGACCGAGCATCAGGTTTGATATATTACTTACAGAACTTTAAAAAGTCTTTGGACATTTTCTCACCGCAAATAGAAAGAAAACGTTCCAAAGAATATTTAGTTATAATCCTAGCTGTAAAAGAAAGCTTTGGGCGATTTTCTTGCCTCGAGTTCATCTTTAAAAATAGCAAACACCGGGAAGCCGGCTTTTAAGCTTAAGCTTGAAGACTCAGGATTCTTAGAGACACTTTAATACTTGTCTTCGGGAATGAAAATTGTTGTCTCTGTATATGTTTCACCGAATTATATTTCTTTTATTGATTGTTAGTAGTCTCTATTGTAATTTTAATCGCTGTGCCGTTTGTTTTCAGTCGTTCAGTGTTAACATCGCTTTCACGAGTACTCAAACTGCCGCGCGCATCAAACGCTTTTGAAGATTACACATCGATAAAATAAACAAAAATATAAACATAATAAATTCTTTATTGTGTTGTGGCGAAACTCTATCAATGTTCATTCAAACAGTCGACCACAGCTCATGAGCTGCAAAAGTGAGAACCGGCTGGCCGTGTAGGTGATTTTGGAAATTATTTTAACGGTTTAGCTAAAAGTCCAGGCGTGCTTCGATCGTCCTGAATATTGAATGAGTGTAATTTGTATCGCAAAATTGTGAAATACTGCTTTCTGTCAGAGGTCTGTATGATAAAAACAGTGCCTCATAGCACTGTTTCATCTCCGATGTGATGTACAAATGGTAAAAAGGTTGGTTTTCACTCAGCCAGATTTGTTGGCAAGATTCTGTAAAGTAAACTTGTCGAACGCAAAGAATTCGGCCTGATTTTTTTTCCAGGCCTAATTATAATCTACGTTGATCAAGAGCCTGCCCATTATGGCTCTTAAATGTGATCGAACCTCTTTCTTGGAGGTGAAAGGTGTTTGGAAAAAGTCAGTGTTACTACTCGTGGCGGCCTTGCTGTGCCCATTGGCTTTAGTGGTTTGGTTTGTTTTTGAAGGCCTTTTCCCCAAACATAAAGTGACCAGCATCTTTCGCTCTCCTTTTGTGAGGTTTCTCATCTACGCCGGGTCCTATCAGACATTTCTATATCTGCTTGCAGTCACATCAAGTACCAGTCATTTTCTGGGAGGCTTCTCGTTAAGTGGTAAGAAATATCGATGAAAAGAAATTTATCACTGTTAATACACTAAGCTAAGACTGCTTTATCGAGGGGCAAGCTAAATGATTCATCTTGTATTCCTCTCACAGATTTGTATGTCAGAATATTTGTCATTGGTCTACTGGTAGACCTCATAAAAGACGTGCTTCAGAATGGAAGATCCCGCTTTTTTTCATACCACTGGAACTATCTGGCTTCGACAATGGTGGTGTCTTTCGTCCTTGGCGACGTAATTTGGTTGATTGGAAGGGTAACTCTTCCAAGCGGATCCCAGTCTCTGACGCTAGAAGACCATGCTGTGTTGCGATCTTATACGATCATGCTGTCTGCCGAAAGCTTTTTATCCTTGGGAATTCTCCAGGCATTTGCCCTAAATTTGTAATTTTTGAGTCAGGAAAACGCCAGTATTGGTCCTTTGCTAAATGCATTTATACAGATGCTTATCGATGCAGCAAAGTTCTTTTTTTATTTTGGTTTCGTTTTTCTGGCATTTGCTGTGAGTTTCACAAAGCTTTACTCGCAATATAACGCGGCCAAAGAGTACTTCGCACCGGGGACGGAGGAGAAGATTTCGCTAGAGCTGGAAAGGTAAGTATAAAAGATTTATCTTAAGCAATTATAGAGTACTTAAGTGCGACGTCATAAAAATGAAATCTCTGAAATTATGGGATTTGTCAGGATATTCTGAAAGAACAATGTCCAAGAGGCCTGCTTGCCAAAAATGAGCATTTCGGGGCAAATAGTCTCTGAGATCGTAGCCCAGTTATGCTTAGAAAACTCCACACAAACCCTTCTAAATTTTTTTGGGTCGACCCCCAAAAAGTAGAAGGGTTTGTATGGAGTTTTCTGAGTATAACCGGCTAACATCTCAGAGGACAGAGACAATTTGCCCCGAAATGCTCATTTTTGGTAAGTAGGCCTCTTGGACATTGTTCTTTGAGAATATCCTGACAAATCCCTTAATTTCAGAAATTTCATTTTTATGACCTCATCACTTTAGTACTCTATAGCGGAGCTCCACAGCTACCCATCCCAGAAAATTTGGTAATCACGTGACCGTACACCGCCCGTCCGTCCGCACCACAGGGAACCAATGTTCAATCTCATACTTTCTAGCTAGTTTGGGAGCGCAGGAAAACTGATAATGCACACATTTTGGACATCAACGATGTGATCAATTGACAGCTATTATCGAAACAGGGTATCCGCTGACTAGTATCACTTGACCGAATCGCGGGCTCAGGTGTTGACCCATTAAAGTTACCGCTGACAAGTTACTAGTTTTCAAGCGATCGCAGGCTCAAGTATATATTTTTTAATTCATATGAAATATGTTGTGTTTACGTGCCGCACAATTAAAATTTTGATTTCAAACTGACCTCGGATGCGAAAATTCAGCCAGCTATGCAAGGAAGACAGTTGCTTTTAACCATCCGTCCGCACCATAGGACAACCCATGCGTACTTTCACACTTTCTAACCACTTTGGGAGCCCAGGAGAAAACTGATTGCTCATCAATGTTGTGATCAATCATGGATAATATCCATGGATCAATTGACATCTGTCAAAACAAGGTATCCGCTGGCTGGCCACCTGACCGTATCGCGGGCTCAGGTGTCGACCCGTCGAGGTCGAGTACTTTTTTGAAGTTATCCGCTGACAAGTTACTAGTTTCAAATGATCGCAGGCTCAAGTTTATTTTTTCAAAAAGTCATATGAAATATGTTGTGTTTCTGTCATTATGGCCCCGCACTATTAAGATTTTGATTTCAAACTAACCTTGGACGCGAAAATTCAGCCAGTTATTTGGAAATACAGGCGGGGAAGACTTTTTCTTGCCAAGGTCACACGTTGGTCACGCTCTACGTCCAATTTTTATGCTCTGATTGGTCAAAATTTGACAGGTGAGTTCATGCGGAAAATTTATGCAGCATCTTGAATCTTGTTTACTTTGACTGCTGAAGCTGGCAGAGTTTTGTGTCAACTTGTGATTTTTTTAACTGTCTTTTTCTACTGGATGTACAAAAATGAAATACAGCTGCTATCAAGAGTATTCTGTTATTCGTGGCTAGTTTGTTCATTGGTTTTTTGGTTGAGAGATGCGTCGATTGTCAAAGTCGGAAATCCGATTTCGGATGGCATTGTTTCCGTTTTTCACCTTGCTTGAAAACTCTGAAGCGATACTGGCCTTACTTGATACCTTTCAGGAGCTGCATCTCGAATGGTAAGCATGAGTAATTATTGTATTTGATGTTTGTTTTTTTATATCTAATTTAATGAAGTCGAGCGTAGTTTATGCACGTTTGTAAGATTTGAGACAATGATCTGACCGAGCATCAGGTTTGATATAAGCTTACAGAACTTTAAAAAGTCTTTGGACATTTTCTCACCGCAAATAGAAAGAAAACGTTTCAAAGAATATTTAGTTATAATCCTAGCTGTAAAAGAAAGCTTTGGGCGATTTTCTTGCCTCGAGTTCATCTTTAAAAATAGCAAACACCGGGAAGCCGGCTTTTAAGCTTAAGCTTGAAGACTCAGGATTCTTAGAGACACTTTAATACTTGTCTTCGGGAATGAAAATTGTTGTCTCTGTATATGTTTCACCGAATTATATTTCTTTTATTGATTGTTAGTAGTCTCTATTGTAATTTTAATCGCTGTGCCGTTTGTTTTCAGTCGTTCAGTGTTAACATCGCTTTCACGAGTACTCAAACTGCCGCGCGCATCAAACGCTTTTGAAGATTACACATCGATAAAATAAACAAAAATATAAACATAATAAATTCTTTATTGTGTTGTGGCGAAACTCTATCAATGTTCATTCAAACAGTCGACCACAGCTCATGAGCTGCAAAAGTGAGAACCGGCTGGCCGTGTAGGTGATTTTGGAAATTATTTTAACGGTTTAGCTAAAAGTCCAGGCGTGCTTCGATCGTCCTGAATATTGAATGAGTGTAATTTGTATCGCAAAATTGTGAAATACTGCTTTCTGTCAGAGGTCTGTATGATAAAAACAGTGCCTCATAGCACTGTTTCATCTCCGATGTGATGTACAAATGGTAAAAAGGTTGGTTTTCACTCAGCCAGATTTGTTGGCAAGATTCTGTAAAGTAAACTTGTCGAACGCAAAGAATTCGGCCTGATTTTTTTTCCAGGCCTAATTATAATCTACGTTGATCAAGAGCCTGCCCATTATGGCTCTTAAATGTGATCGATGATGGTTGCTATTTTTTGGGTGTACATATGAGGCTGTAAACTTGATGTAAGATTTGGTTCACTCTTGGCGGTTCTTTGCAAAGTATTTTTCTCTAAAATCACTTAGCCTTTCCTTCAAAAGTCACATGAATGTGCTGTAAAGCTATCTGAATTTGGAATACAAGTTTATTGTTTGATTTAAATTATAAATTTATTAATGGGAGCTTCGCTTTTAGCCCTGGCTAAATCTATATATTAATCTAGAATACTTCATAGCAACTGTGTACATGTGCGTGCGGTTTTCAGGTACGCGTCGTTCAGAGGCGTATCACCGATCGACATTGTAGCGGAGCTCTCTCGCGAGCAAAGCGCGCAACGGAGCACCATGGGTGAGAAAATTTGGTTATCTAACCATCCGAGAAATTTTGGTAACACGTCACCGAACGCCCACCCGCCCGACCTACCGTCCGCCCCACAGGTGTACGAATGTAAAATAACTCAATCAACAAGTATGGCAACCCAAATGCAACTCGAGGTTATTTTGGCGGGAAATCGCATAGCCACCCGCGTCTTGTAAAGCAGAGACAACTAATAAAGAGTTAATAAAGATGAAAAAAGAAAGCGGAAATTGTTTCTGTATCCGTGTTGTCCAAAGTATTAAGCTTAGATTAATTGTCATGCCCACAAATTTTGAATATAGAGCAAGAGAAAGACAGAGAAAAAGAGAAAGTAGGCGACAGGCCAGCGAAGCTCAACGAGAAAAAAGCGACAGAGATCTAGAGCGGCAGATAAAACTAAAGGAGAATTTTTTTTTTTCTTGGAAGAACAACATGAAAATTTTCAATGTAGCGGCGGTGAGAAAATGAGAAATGCTAGCGGCCACCGATGCAAGGTGAAAATGAACGGCAGCGAAAAAAAGAGAACGAGAACACGTACAACATTTCCTTCATAAAACGTGTAACTAGGAAGTTTCTGTAAGTTTCACGTTGTAGTAGTGCAAAACAACGGCAAAGAAATGTACAAAAAGAGTGTGCTGCACGTGAAAGTTGACTTGTTGTTGTTTTTTCACCGTTCTCCGGCGTTGCCTTCGCCGCTTAGCATTACACGATTTACTATTTGTTTGGACAAACTCTAAATATTATCGAGAGCTTCGCTTTTAGCTCTGGCTAAATCTGTATATTAATATGAACAACGAATATGTAAATACGTACAAAGCATTTTCCATGTGGCTTTATCTTACTGGAATTTTCCGTTGCACATCATAAAAGGTCATTGCCCAGTTTTATGTCAAATCTCTCTGAGTCAAAAATTATTCGCAAAAAATAGGTAACCGGAATTTTAATGAGTGAGTTTTTTTCTTCATTTTCGGAAATAAATGCAAAATGAGTGACAATTTGCGAAAGAGTAAATACGACAGGTTTAAATCAGAAGACAGGAAAATGGTGCTAAAGTATAATATTACTTCTTGCTATGGTTTTCCCTTTGTAATGTTGTTTTGTAGGCTCTCTACAATTTCCTTCTGTGACAATGAGAGAGGAAAAGAGCTATATACCATTTTTTGGGACTATTGATCACTTTTTTTCATTTTAATGTTCTTGTCGATTATGCAAACTGCTTCATTTTTTCGCCAGGAAACAATTTTAAAGGCTCCCGATTTGTTTTGTAAACAATGCCGCATAATATAAAGCGTTTTATAGCTTTCTGATTAGCTGTGTAATTTATGGCAAAGGAAAAGTTAATCATAATCGTTTGTTATTATTTCAGGTTAGACATCAGTGCAAATGTGATCTTCTGGTCGCTTTTTGGTCAAGTTGAACGTAAAGGATTTTTGATTGCAGAGGCAGGTTACGAGACCATCTGGTGGACGGGCTTGACGCTGTTTGGGGTGTTCAATATTGTAGCCGTTCTTGTCGCTGTTAACATGCTGATTGCAATACTCAATGAATCCTATACGCGGATTTCGGTAAGCAAAAAGCCGTTCTCGCGTTCTTGCATAGCCTGCTAAACAGACGTTCTTTGGATCATCACGCAATGCTCCTCGTTCTCAGCAGCCGTTTTTTCGGAAGGAGCGTTGCGTGACGACCCAAAGAACGGCAGTGTATGGGCTAGTTCTTGCACCAACGACAATGAGAAAACAATACATTCTGTTTAGGACAGCTAATTCACGAACAGTTGAACCTCGATATAATGAACCTCTATATAACGAACGATGTTCGACGCCTCAGTAATAGTAAGGTATATGGAAAAGAACCTCCATACAACGAAACCTCGTTATATCAACATATTTTTCCAGTCCCTTGGCCATTCGTTATGTGGAGGGTGCACTGTATAGCCTGTGTAAAATACCCCACTCCCAGAAAAAAATAATTTTTGAGGGGAGGGGGCCCATAACCACAGGTTACTTCATGTAGAGAGGTGACATATATCTCAGCCTGCAAAAAGTCAATGTAAAGTTTTCATTATGGTCCTCAAATTTGAAACTCTGAAAGTTGATTCCTTGGGTTACTGTATGTCTAGTAACAACTGACTGTTTTCTTTTTTTTTGCGATTTTAAGAAAGTACAATTATAGACTTTTCTTTACTTGCGCGTGCGTTATTCACCACCTGATTCGCAAATGAATGATGATGCAATCGAGTTAATACCCGCCATCCAATAATAAATTATCGACTGGTCAGCGAATCACTTCAAAATGCGTGACCGCGATGGGTTGTTCAACTTATAATCCTCCTCCCTACGTGCAATACTTGACCTGGCTACACTTGAGCAAAGATTACTCTGACTAAAGAATTTTTTTTTTAGATGACCTTCAGGAAAACTTGGACACTGAATGGAAGTTTACGAGGACAAAGATGTGGTTAAACTGGATTTACAAGAAAAGCGTTCTTCCGCCACCGTTTAGCATCTTGTATGTGCTGCTTCCAGTCGGCTGGATTATTGAACGTCTCTTTAAAGCCTTTTGCCCCGAACCCATCTTGGTTAGTTAAAAATATATTGGTAGTATTTATCCAAAATATTTCTTCTTTTCTGATTGCCTAAAATCCCACGCATAATTCATCATAACCAGCTATTGTAGACCAAAATTGGAAGAATTTTGCGATATATGAAAAATGACGTCAAGTGTGCAGCAATGAACAGTTAGCCGAAAAGACCTGGGGACAAGGTTGAGATGCTTTGGTAGTGGATACAAAATGGCGGAACATTTCACTCGTTTCACGAGGAAGATAGGCGAACTATTGGCTAAAAACATAGCAAGAATAGCAGTTACAGTTAAATGGGCTGAGAGAAATGTTACTTGCTATTTTTTGTAGAGCTAAAACGTTTCTTTACTTGATAGGTGGGTTGACTATATGAGAGATTATTAATAAGGACAGGCGGGTCACCCCACCTAAGCGGGTTACCTCACCTATCTGGGGTCCCCCGACTGTCTCCATGTAAACAGCCTCTAAGTTTTATTATCATTTCATTTATCAACAAAACGTCATTGAAAGAGTTTCAAAGGGGTTACAGNAAAATCCCACGCATAATTCATCATAACCAGCTATTGTAGACCAAAATTGGAAGAATTTTGCGATATATGAAAAATGACGTCAAGTGTGCAGCAATGAACAGTTAGCCGAAAAGACCTGGGGACAAGGTTGAGATGCTTTGGTAGTGGATACAAAATGGCGGAACATTTCACTCGTTTCACGAGGAAGATAGGCGAACTATTGGCTAAAAACATAGCAAGAATAGCAGTTACAGTTAAATGGGCTGAGAGAAATGTTACTTGCTATTTTTTGTAGAGCTAAAACGTTTCTTTACTTGATAGGTGGGTTGACTATATGAGAGATTATTAATAAGGACAGGCGGGTCACCCCACCTAAGCGGGTTACCTCACCTATCTGGGGTCCCCCGACTGCCTCCATGTAAACAGCCTCTAAGTTTCATTATCATTTCATTTATCTACAAAACGTCATTGAAAGAGTTTCAAAGGTGTTACAGCAAAGAAGAACTCAATCCACATATTTCACTACAGCTTGGAATTACATCAATAAAAACTACCTACATGTAAAATGTTAACTTTACTTATTACAGTATCTCGTTTGTGAAACAATTTGATTTTCTCCGCGTTTAGGATTCTCTTGAAAAGCTGATTAAGAGGAGGCCTAAAACTAGGACAACCTCGAGAGTTAAAAGAATTGGTGAACAGAAGGTAAACAGTCTTTTGTTTTTCTATTTAAACGAATAATCGAATAACATTATTAAACAGCGTCTCATTTCTGAACAGTTACGTTGACACTTAAGCTTGCAAATGACACTGTAATTTAATAGACACAGTTAACTTTTCTAACAGTTTTACTCTCAATTACAAGTTTTAACGGTTGACTTTTGTCAGTGCTACCACAACCAGTTTGTTTTTCCTCAGAGACGAAAGGTGCTTCGTCAACTTGTCTTGAGGTACCTGGCCAGGAGATCTTAGATACTGAAATCGAGCCGACTGACTCAGAGGAGGGGAACAACAACGAGGCAACAGCAGCTACTGCTGAACAAACCATGAAGACAAGCCAATCTAACCAAAAGTAACCATGGAAATAAAGGAGTTGTGCATGTAGCAATCATAACAAGTCGAGAAATGTCTAGTTACTGGGTCCGCATAGCTTCAGTGATAAGTTAAGTCCGCGTTCAGTTTCAGATTGTTCAATTGACTACACACACACACTTTGCAAGTTGCAAGGAAACCTTAATAGGTTTACACAATAAGGCTTTCTTATTTCAGTTCATAGGTTAGGCTATGCCCATTGAAGTCCGTTTATGTTTGTAATGGCATACGACCCCATACCTTTACTACTCCGGTTTTTATCCGTTTATATACATGTTCCTCTCTGGAACCATTGACAGTGGTCGTTTGCTCTTTTGAAGTAACCTCCTTCTTTCGTTTTTCATTATTTTTCATCGCTGAGTTTAGAGCACATCTTTGTAAAAGCTCTTAGGAAGGGTTCGTTTTTGTTGACTTATTCTGGTAGTCCGCAGCCACAAAAATTATGAGCTCACAAGAATCGGCCTCTTCTCTTCTTCAGCAAGACCAGAATTTGCGTCGTCTATTCTAAAAAAAGTATGAGGCAGCACTATTAACATCTTATATATTTCAAAGAGACAAAGTCAAAGTGACCCTTAGGATAAATAGTGCTGACTGTCAGTCTAGTTTTGGCGGAAATGTCCAGTTGTGGACGAATTTATGGCTTAATTAACAGATCAATATATTGAGAAAACCCGATAAACTTTTTAAAGATTCCTGTGTTGATGATTTAAGAGGGTGAACAAAGCTAAGGCTTGCTAATTACCTTCATGGTAGTTCTCTTATGTCCCGAAAATAAAGGAATAATTCCATAAGGCCATCCAACATTTGCTGCAGAGAACAGCCAAGAAACGATGCCCTCATTCATCATTTTGGCGGCCTGTTAACTTTTGTTTCGCTGTCTCTGAGTGACAAATTTCGGGCCTTCTGGAAATCCGCGAACTAGTAACTTAACTATTAAGCTAGCTGTTGTAAAACGAGCTGAGTTTGCCACCACCTCAAAATTCATGACAAAGAGCTAAAGTTGGAAGTGAAAATTTTCTTTTTGGTTCTAAATAGCCCCATCGTAAATCGACGAACTTAAACAAACGACAGGCGACCAAGGCGGTGTTCTCAGTTGCTCACGGTTCACGTGACCTACGTGGTGGCTAGAAAATAGCAAGACTGCATGTCTGCGAGTAGGCTTTTACCTTGCCCCACACTTCATTTGTACTAATTACTAACCTAAGAGCCGGTTCAAACATCGTGAAAGCTGACAGAAGTAGCGCCTGGAAACAATCAAGAAGTAAATGTATTTTATGCCTAACAAATATTTCAAAAATTTTAATCATCATTTCTTAAAGACGCATTTCGAAGCGTTTTGTCTCAAACCCCAACCACAAGGCCAGTTTGGCAACATGAACTTCTGCGATCTCTCACAGTGTTGTTGAAGTAGTCTTTGACCATTTCGACAGATTCAATAAATGGCCTTTGCCGGCGGTTTTCAAATATCTGATTTGGAATTGGCAACCTGTGGAGGTGATAAAATGAAAATGAATACAAGAAATCTCGTCCGGAACTCAGATCGTTTTCTTTTCATCTTTCTCACTTCAAAACCAAAATTCTACCATCAAACTAAGTTTATCATCATCCCTTTTCAACAATGCTGTTCCTAGCCTGAATATGATTTCAACTGGGAATTACGTTTTTCTTTAAAAAAAAAAATTCTGCGGCTGTTTTGTAACTCTCTGGATAGTCATCCGCCATAAGTTTGGGATCTCACGGGTTCGACTTTTTCTTTTGGTGACGTGACATGCTGCGGAATATTACTTCTCTTTTAGGAAAGCAAGGCCTTGTTTATATGGAGAAAAGCTGTCCTTAGTGGAAGGGCCACCCTACCAACCGAGCCAACTTAAGTGAGCGTTTATATGCGAAGAAAGATGACCCTTTTAACCCGCCCCATCAGCGTAGCGCATGCTCTGATTGTCTAAAAGAGCGCTCGCGCATGTTCTAATTGTCAAGTCTTGACCGGGTTGAAACGGCTGGCTGAGTCAAAGTGGTTGTATGATGAAAAGTTGGCCCGGCTAAGGAGTGACCCTTCCATGTAAACGATTCGCCACTTTTTGTAAGGAAATGTATGAAAAGGTGGCCGCCCCCTAGGGTAGCTCGGGTAGGCGAGTGAGTCTTCTAGCTGGAGCAACTTCTCCCCACATAAACGGGGCCTAAGGGTGGATCATTTGAAGCATACACGTCCAGCCGTCGCATTTGCTCGCTGAAATTTTTTGTTTTTAAGCTAAAATACAGTGATAAAAAATTGCAACGGGCAATACGACGGCTATACGCTAATGTTGCAAGTGAATGCACTCTAGGTGCAACGTATTCTTAATTTAAGGCATCATTTCATGCAACCACTGATTTCAAGCCTTAATATTTGTAAATAAACATATTTAGGTGCAGTTTAGATATACTTGAACTTAGCTTTAGAGTAAATAGTGATTAAATTCACATTGAGAAGATGTAAATTTATGCAGAAAAAGCATGGCGAGGTGCAGTAACATAGTTTACTTACTTGGCCAAAACAGATGAAACCTGCGATCTACAAACGAAAAAAATAGAATAAATAAATGAATAAAAATAAGAGAAACAATAGAGGTAAGAAAGTTACATTTGTTAATGCTGTCCTGAGTAGTGTCATGTGTATCTTCCTTCCAAAGCCCGGTTAGAGAGCCCGACCGCTATTGGATTGTCTTGAGGTTAAACCCATCGGAAACTCAGGGGGGAATCGGATAACGACTAATAACGGGGGAGTGCTGCAGCATTTTGGTGGATGAGCCGCAACCAAAATAGATATTCATTCATCGGTCAGTTTGCATTTATATTCACCGCTTTCCTTGTGTTTCACAGCGGTAGATCCCCGATAAGTGGGCAGCAAATTACATGTACTCAGGGGTTTAGTGGAAAGACGAGCTAGTAGATAATATCTTAACAAAAAACTTACACTTGTGGCCCACTGAAAACCTAAGTTTTCACTAAAAATCCCAGCTATACTTGGTCCAATTGTTGCCCTGTAAATAAAAAAAAGACAACTCCTGGAAAACTTGGCTAAGCTTAAAGGAGAAACATGTTGGCACAAAACTGAAAACACTTAAAAAAGGAGAGTTCGAACGACTAACTAACTAACTAACTAACTAACTAACTAACTAACTAACTAACTAACTAACTAACTAACCAACTTACTAACTAACTAACTAACTAACTATTGTAACCAACTAACCAACTTACTAACGAAATAAATAAATAAATAAATAAATAAAATAAAGTGACGTACAGCGCATGTGCAACAACAGGGGAAACTCTTTAAAAATTCTATTAACGCAACGAGATTAGAGCCGGACTGAATTAACAAAACAATTCCAAAAAATGACCACAACATGACCAACTACAATTTACCGTGATAAACTTACCCTAGATAAAACATGCAGCCAAAAATACTCGAGAGAACGGCATACGTGGATGAATTGTCAGGCATCCTGTTCGCTCTACATAATAAACATCATGAATGAACACTTTTTACAGGCCGGGATATTTCACTTGATTGTCAGTCAGACAATGCAGGGTAAGATATTGATTGTTAATTAAATCCTACTACATTCGTACCATAGAGTTACAATTAAAAAGTTGAATATTACCGACAGCCATATGATACGGTCAAGAGAATTAACCAAACAACTGTAAGACACGGGTTAGAAATTGAAGTTTTAAGTCAAGAGATGTGCTTGTTCAATGTTTATTTTACCTTGCAAGCACATTAAAGCAACAGCCCACTCTAAATCTCTCTGCTACTTTGGCTGCTGCACACGGGTCCTAGTGAACATTTATTTAACGCTGAACGTTATAAGCTATAACTTGAGTCATTATTTTATTGCTTCGTGTCTTTCGTTGTTATGCTCTGAACAGTGCGATTAACGTAAAAAAAAGGTTACAAAAAGGCCGAGAAACTATTATTTGGAGAATTTAAGGGCTGCGGTGAAGTAAAAATTAAGCGAATCAAAGTTTTCTAAGTTAAATAGAGGATTCCCGGTGAAAGTTAGCCTGGCCCGGGTTGTTCAAACGTTAGACACCGCAATCCCTTGGGCTATCCATAAGATAGAGATATCGATTTATTCACTGGATAGCATTACGCCCCAGACACAGGTGTTTAAGGTCCCTATTGTTTCTCAAATGTGTCTTTTTTTTTATTTATACAATTGTTCGTAAGTTTCACTGAGTCAGTAGTTGGGTCCTTTACAAGGTGATAATGATATCTTGGTAATTGTTATCAGCCTCGTCCTTCGGCTCGGCTTATAACACTTTCCTCGACCTTGCTTGCTTTTTTTTCAGCTTCCCGGTAAGAAAGTAATAAAAAACACTCACCTGGCACTTCTAACTAAATCTGGCATTATTGGCACGAAAGAAAATCCTCCCCNACACGGGTCCTAGTGAACATTTATTTAACGCTGAACGTTATAAGCTATAACTTGAGTCATTATTTTATTGCTTCGTGTCTTTCGTTGTTATGCTCTGAACAGTGCGATTAACGTAAAAAAAAGGTTACAAAAAGGCCGAGAAACTATTATTTGGAGAATTTAAGGGCTGCGGTGAAGTAAAAATTAAGCGAATCAAAGTTTTCTAAGTTAAATAGAGGATTCCCGGTGAAAGTTAGCCTGGCCCGGGTTGTTCAAACGTTAGACACCGCAATCCCTTGGGCTATCCATAAGATAGAGATATCGATTTATTCACTGGATAGCATTACGCCCCAGACACAGGTGTTTAAGGTCCCTATTGTTTCTCAAATGTGTCTTTTTTTTTATTTATACAATTGTTCGTAAGTTTCACTGAGTCAGTAGTTGGGTCCTTTACAAGGTGATAATGATATCTTGGTAATTGTTATCAGCCTCGTCCTTCGGCTCGGCTTATAACACTTTCCTCGACCTTGCTTGCTTTTTTTTCAGCTTCCCGGTAAGAAAGTAATAAAAAACACTCACCTGGCACTTCTAACTAAATCTGGCATTATTGGCACGAAAGAAAATCCTCCCCCAAGACCACAAATAGGAAGGCTAATACAAACAAACCACACCTTTCTGAAAAATGTAAGAAAAGAGCAAAATTTTAAAAATGTTTACAGAAACAAAAATGTTTCTTTATACATTATCAGGGCAAACAAATTCAAGTGCCAGCCATGCACGCCATAATCACTGAGGTCGACTTGGAGGCTTCTTATACTACAGTCGAAACTCCAGCAACTAACGACCACCTCTCTCAGTACAACGGCCACTTTTTTCATTGTTGAATAGTCCATAGTACATTGACTCTTGTTTAAACCTCTCTACGGCGGCCACCTCCTTCTGTCCCCAAGGCGGCCGTGGTGGAGAGGTTCAACTGTATAATTTATTTAATAGTTCACCTAATGCACGTAATACGTACAATTTGTCTTTATTGCAGAAAAACCTATTCTATTATTCTATTCTATTATTTCTATCAAGCAGCCACTTTGTTGAGAGCTACCACATCGAACACTCTTATCCTCTTCACCATCTGCGTTCGTTGACTTACATTGAGGCTGCAATCTTGGACAAAATAGATGGAAAATTATCCCCCCCCTTCCCCATTTAAGGAAGCTGGAAAATGGCTCTGGGGGATAGGGGTTTGCTGTTCCATTTTATACTGTCCAAGATTGTAGTCTATTTGTACTAAACGGTCAGCCTGTATGGAACGGTATTTTGGGTTAATGCTGGTTAAAAGGTCTGGGGCCAATTTAATAAAACTTTTATAAATGCAATTTACAAGTGTAGCCACTGTTTTAGAGTCAATGGCTACAATTGTAAATTACACTTGCAAAAGAATAGCTTTATTAAATTGAACCCTGTTGTATCTTTGTCTAAGGTAGTTACAAACCTTTGAGGTAAAAATGTCAAAAACGGCGCAGGACCGAGCATAAGATAGCCAATACCAAATCCAGTGAACCCCAATATAAGGAAGCCTCGGTACCATTTCTTTATTATGAAACATTAATAATAATAACAATAATAATTTATTCACTAATATTGCCCGCAAATATTCATACTAATGATCTAATGAGCATTACAGGTAAAAATGTATTCACAAAATGAAAGCAAATTAACGAAATACAACAAGAATATGTCTTGTAATGAAATATCTAAAAATATTAATATGTAACTTGTAAAAATACAGATAACTCTAAGCAGACGTTTTAAGAATATGCGTCTTAAGATGGTGCTAAAAATTTTGTTTGTATATAGCCGTCAATAAACTGGAAAATTGAAACTTGAGATCTACAAGTTTTAAAACCAAAATATATCCCCGTTTTGGAAAGATGCTTTATAGCATTCCTTGTGGCGATTGCAATGCTGACTATTTTGGTGAGATCTTTCATGGGTCTCTTTTTGACTGGAACGCACACGTCCTTGTCATTCAGGTGGCCAAAGGTCTTCCATGGAGTTAAAAAAGACCACCCAGAACAAGTCCAAAGAAAAAAAAACCCTCACTCGAGATAGACTTCAGTTTCATTTTCAAAGTTCGCACATTCTACGCGGTTACAAGGTGATTAGGGATGCAATTAATTCTTCCCGAAGCTTAATTACCTTTGCTCTAGATAAGTCGAGAGACTAAAGAGAAATTCTTTTAGACCAGCAGGAATACCATCGGATGGAGAACGAAGAGACCCCTTGACCTTGCCTTTTCCTTATTATACTCGAGCAATATTACCCCTTCTGAAAGCACTTTATCCTTGATATTAGGCATAAGTCTACCCTTTGTACCCTGGCATACTCCCTATAATGGCCTTTACGGGATGTTCCAACTAAAAGGGTACTTTTTTTACACTTGAGGAAAATTTAATGGCGGGGATTTCACTAGTTGAAGTATGAGAAAGGCTTCGAAAACCTGTAATTTGTGGTGTGTACGTGGCTGTAATTTGTCTTCTTTAATGCCTGATATTCTCCTGTAAAAATATTTATTACTATTTATAGCTATCGCTAAGTGCCAACGAGCAAAGATTTTTCCTGTACGCGCGCGCTGTCAAATTTGTTTAGAAATGTCATGAAATACAGTAATTGATGAAAAATAGGTTGCATCAGGAGCCCATCAAATGGAGCCTCCATCTCCATTAATTTCTTGAGTCAACCCTTTCCCGAGTAGATTTACAAATAGAACGGCTTGCTTCCCGCGAAAAGTGTCATATTTCCGTGAGTCTCGTATGTCAACGTGAAAAAAATTAAGTTGGATGAAGTCGAACTCAGAAGCCCGTCTTTCGACCGTTTTCCTTTTCTACTATACGTCCATTTTTACAGTTTTACAGCCGCTGGGATCTGGGATGAAATAAAAGTTAATGAATTACCCGACTGAGACTGAGCATGAAGCGATGGGACAAAGGCAGCGAACTGAGGATCACGGAAAGGTTCTTTGCGAGTGTTTGTTTTTGTTTGTTTTTTTTTTTGCCGTCATACATCCCACATTTAAGCATGCACCTTGAAAAGAGTCGACGATTAAGCGTTCTGTGGACGATTTGAAACTCTCCGATGATCAGCGCCGAAAAAGTGCCAGGATCATTTGATTTTTGTTATCGCCGTGGAGTGGATTTCGCCAGTTAAGCACCGCGTGCAAAAGCGATTACCTAAGTAGCAACCAAGGAGGAATGCTTCAGAAAAATTGCAGTCTTCCTTTATAACTGACTTGTATCACCATGAGAGTTGCCTGATAAAACTGGCACTTGAAAAGTTGAACAGAAGATAACAGTTGCTCGACCGTAAAGCTAACTCAAAAGTAATTTGCTAACGGTGGAATTTGGGACATCGCGCTCCAGTCCAAAGACCCTCTTATCTCAAGAAAAACAAAATGGATTGTATCTGCGCCCAAAGAATTATGACTGACTAACAGGAGAATTCTCAGCAATTAATGTAGAAGTTTAGGCCAATTCTTTCCTTCGAATTCGCATCCGTAGATCACTTTTTTGCGAGAAAACAATGGCTGGGCTCGGCGTTACAAAACATAGCAGGGAATCATCACACTAACTGACGGACAAAACAACCACAGTATAGTATTTATTCAGTCAAACGCATTTCGGAGAAAAACTTGAAAAACTACAAATTTGATTAATATTGAGTAATTTAGCCGAAATAAGAACCTTAACGCTCAAAAAAATTGGCTAAAGAAAACGAATCCTGTCAGAACTACAGACTGCAGGTAGTAATTAATCATTACGCATGTAAGCTTCATGGCCTCTTTTAAATGAAAGACAAGCAACCAAAATTAAGATTATCATAGTCAGAGTTTAAAACTCTCCACAGTATAATCTACCCGCTAGAAAGAAAAGAAAGAAAATCTCTGAGGGATGAAAACGCTAAAGTCACGTTTCACTAGCTTATGATTTTGTTTGGCCTGTCAGCACCGGATTTCCAGCTGTTTCATGAAGTACAATAGCAGTGTCATTTAGTCGTTGTGATTGGCTCTTCCCACCGTCGGCGCGCGGAGTCTCCCCTGGGAACCGTTCTAATTATAAATCTACTCGGGAAAGGGTTGACTCCAAGAGCTTGTATGGGAGATGGAGGCTCCATTTGATGGGCTCCTGGTTGCATTGAAAATAGTGCAAACTAAAGCAAGCGGCACACATACACCCACCACGGCCGGGGCGGTACCTCACGGATGCGCACAGCCACATCACGCAGGGGGTGGCAGTCACAGACAGCTATTCCGCCCTTATTGGGGCCCACCAGCGTGGCAAAGCCGCTGGGTTAATGAACTGGTGAACCCGCGTTTCAAAACCCCCGTACTGCTGACGTGGGTGCAAAGCAGTCTATCAAGCGCCAGCTCCACACAACACATGTGGGAGCTGTTGGCTGGGAATCGCACGGCAGTTCTCCCACGACATGCGCGGGGAAGACGGATCATAGGTTTGGTGTATGCGTGCCCCTTGCTTTAATTTGTCTTTTGAAAATAGTGAACTAAACTGTCCTACTGCATAAAGAATTTGAAATCCCGACTTAACACAGCAAACGTTTCGAGATATTGAAGTTCGTGTTTTTGTCCGAAGTTGCGCACAAGTCATTTTGCGTAAAATTTAGTGGTCTTATAAGCAAGCTTAAAATCCTCGAAAAATCATATTAAAGTTTTAAAGCTAAAAAAATTTATGGTGGGCCAATGAAGCCTTACGAATTATTTTGCTTCAAAGACACAAAGAATTTCGTTGCGTTATAATTTTTCTGAGCGGCATACAATAAAAAATTCCAGCGGGCAAATGCGACAGATATTGCGTAGGATGGAAATGATCCACCCGACGATTGGTTGAAGACGGGATGAGCACCGGACTCACAAACATGCACACGGTTCGTGGATTCTCTGATCTGTATCGAGTGTTCGCTCGAAAACAAAGCATTCTCTGCCCTGCATTACGTCATGGTTGCCTTACGCTACTCTATGTTACATCGATTCGAGATTTTTTCTGCCCCTGGAACAATCGCGCACGGCTTTATTAGGCTGCCGCCTCGCAGCCTCGCGTCTTCGCGAAGCTGCTCGTTGGCAATAACTACATGTGTGAAAGGAGTGCCATTTTTAAGTTGAAGGTTCAGGTAAAGGGTACCTCTTCTGAGAAAAACATGGTTTATCAAAGGGCTAGGGGGTTCGTCAATTCATTTTTAAAAAGAGTTACTATGCTTAGGTTTTATCGGTAATTAAGACACACTCACCGTTTTATCCCCTAACCAGCCAATTGCTGGCGCCAAAGTGGCATACACCCCAGAATATAATAAAAACATAAGGCCAATCTGGACTGAATTTTCACCTAGCTGTAAATGAAAGGATCAGTTATTGACACGCCGAGACATCTTTCAACAATATATGTATCTGCATTTATTGAGGCTCTTGATCTTATGGTAATGCAAACCAGAAGTAGCATCCTCTTTTATACCTTGAGGTGCATGTCAGCCTAGCTGGGAGATTGGGAGGTCGGGAGCGGGTTTCTATGGAAACACCATTCCCTGTTAGCCTAGTTGGGAGATTGGGAGGTCGGGAGCGGGTTTCTATGGAAACACCATTCCCTGTTACTGTTAGCCCAATGGAGACTTACTATCGACGCAAATGAAAACGGCGATTATTCTTGTCAACTCGTCCACTGAGATACCTACTAGTTGACAAATTGGGTTGGAGCTGAAGAGAGCGGATCACATCTGAGCTCAGATAGATAAAGCACCAGTTACTACCTTGCTATTCTCAAAGGTTACAGTATTGGCCCTGACTGTATTCTCTAAAAAGCCTCCTAAGAGGAGCTCGTGCGCAAGGGTCTAGTGGGACTCATTACTGAAATAAAATAACAGGGTTGGTATTGTAGCGGAGTTCTATTGGACTCTCTCGAGTGGCTTATTGCATTGATGCCAAACACGAGGATTCTGTGAACACCAGTTGAAACAAAAATACAGAAAAAATGTCAAAAAGAAAAATATCTCGTTGTGTTAGGTTAGACTACTGATTCGATTGCACAGACACTAGAAAAAAATACCATGA